CTCTTTAAATTACTTTTTTTAAAACCAGTAAAGTCTTCTTTGGACCATTCTTGAGGACAATGTCCTGAAACATAGGAGTCAACACAGAATTGATTCACTAGACACAAACCCAGCCCTATTCTGTGATCATCTGAGCCACCAGACCCAAATCCTGGAAAATCCAATGAGACGAGTTGAAGAAAAGACAGCCTAATGAATAGACAATTCAAATGAGAACTTTTTATTCATGTTCACTTGCGTCACCAATACACTGTAATTTGAAATGTATTCTGAAGCAGGTATAGAGAGGTTAAAACAGGACAAAGTGTGTCTCTCTTGCCAGTGCTTGTGTAAGTTACAACTAATTAATTTAGAGCCTTACTCAAATGAAACAGATTTCAAATGTGTTTCTTTCTGTCTTGATTTGAGATGAAATAAGTTGCAGTTTTACTTTCATAAGTTAAAAGTAATGAGAAAGCAAAATGGAGAAAGGCAAGTTTTGAAATGCTGAAGCCAGAGAGATGGGAAAATGGTTGATGAAGATTTAAAATATATAGTGCTGGGAGTAAAGCATGAAACAGATTTATGATTATGGGATCATTAGGAATACACAACACTTTACGTCATGGGAAGAAAAACGAAATAAAAAGAGAATAGTTCACATTTTCTTATCAGTATAAATATTTAAAAAAATAATTTTAGCCTTTTAATTGATATGTAATGATAATTGATACCCACCCATTTAATGTGTGCAAAAATTATGCTAAAATATTAACTGCAATCAAATTCAGTAAACAGAAGTGAAATTTTGCCAAGTGAGCCAAAGAGAAGGGAGCAGAAAAGTAATATTTCTGCATAATGCATCATGTCGAATGGCAACTCTGCTGCATTAAGACGGCTTGTGAGATTACATTAGATGGATTCCTTCGTTGTGTCAGTCAGTCAGATGCTGTCATCACTTTTTCAGTGTAATGAGAAGACGCCTTGGGCTCTCAGCCATTCTGCCATCGCCAAGAACCTATCATAACAAATCAACCCGTCCCTTTAAAGGCAGCTTATCTGAAAATTCTGGAAAGTTTTGTATCAACTATCTATTTCTGCTGTTGTTTTTTTTTTTTTATAAAAAAAAAAACTTGAGTTTTATCAAGGAACAACCACAAACTTCAAAATATTTTATAGGGTTTTATGTGATATACCATTGCCAACTGCTATAAGCTTGTGAAGTAGAAAACAATAACGTAACAGTTTATTTTATATATATTTTGGATGTAGGAAGTAATTTTGGTCTCATCGACCAGAGCAACTTTTTGCTACGTTTATTCCTGAAGAAATTTAAAGTTGGTTTCTTGGTCGAAATTGCATGATGCAGTTTATTCACCAATGTTCTCCAACAAACCTTCGAAGACTTCACAGAACAGCTGCATTTACACTGCATTATACATAGATGGACTCAAAGTAGGTGTGCATTTGTGAAAAAAGCCTAACAGCTAAATTCAGTGATGCTGAATTTTATTTAGGTGTGTGAGAGTGAAAAGGTGCTGAATAAAAAAAAAACAATGTAATATTTTTCTTCCACTTTGGGATTATGCCACACTTTGTGTTGGTTCATCCCATAAAATTACAATAAAATTTGCTGAAGAATGGGCGTGAAATGCGTGGGAATACAGTTTCAGATGGTTTTAGTGCCACTGATGTAAAATTGGGAGGTCAGGTTAAGATCATAAGCTCAAAAGGACTTTCTAAGTTATAGTACTCAGTGAAGCAATGTATTCACGCTCATCACTGCACTTTGAGCAGAGTAGCTTTCCCCTGGTTTCACGCAGTGACCCGAAGCCAAACATCCTCTTCCATGGCTCACCTGAAGGCCCCTAAAGGTACACAGGACCCTCGGCTTCTGTCTCCATGGTGGTCCTTCTTTCTCTTTTCTCATCTGTCCATTTCCTCCTGCCATTTTTCATCTGTTAGTTTCTGCTTTGCGTGAGAGAGAAGAATAGTGCAGAACTGATTATAGAAAGAAATGGCAGCCAACAAAGGTAAACAATGCTCAAAACCAGCAGTAATTTCTCCTGGGATTTTTTAGACTCATTTGTTTTTTCAAAAAGTAAATTGTATTGTTTTCTCAGTAAATCTGTGCAGTGGAGGAAAATCAGCTCTTATTGAGCCGATTTTTTTTTTCTATTTAGTCCACTTAGTCAGAGTCAGCAGATTTCAGATGTAGGTAATTTTAGATTTGTATATTAAATCTAAATCTTAGATTTAGTATACGTATACTACACAGGGAGACAAGATGTTGTGAACTGAAAAACAGAACAGAACGAACATTGTCAGTGCTGTCAGAGCCAGCGCAGCAGTGAAAATTCAGCCCATTGTGGCGCTGTAATGGTGTGGAACAGCGTGATGAGTAGACTGTTAGCTCCGCCGGTGGATCAGCCCCTGCATGCTTCATTACCTGCATGTGATTGTGTGTGTGTGGGCGTGTGTGTGTGTGAGTGTTTGTTTTTGGTTCACTCACATACTTTCAACTCCAGCAGTCCCAGAATGTAACTGTGGATGACGCTGGAGGAGGTAAACGGAAGGTAATCACTTAGGATTGTGTAAATTTTTTCCCTCTCTGTGATCAGAAATGAACTTTTTAGAGTGACTTATGTTTTCAAGTATTTATGGCCAGTGCTAGCTAATCTGCGTTGAGGATTTAAATGCTTTTGTTCTTGTGCATGTAGGGTCCTTGTGCTGATTAATTGTTAGTCGCGGCTTTTAAAATGAGTCAGTCATAACTTTTGTTTATGTCTGTTGGGTGCAAATTGCTTCAAGGAACAAATGAAGCAGAATATATCAATTTTAATAAGCCTCATCATCCATGAATTAGTTTTAAATGGAAAAGATGATGGTTTTAACAAGAGTGACTTTTTAGAGCGATTGTGTTAGCGGTTGGGTTTGTATTTTATGCTTTTTTGCTAATTGGAAGCCCACTTTTAAGAGAGTTTTTATTTTATTATTTAGCACTGGTTGTGCTTATGTCCTCTGTCGCCTAGCGTCTTTCTCCTAGTCCCGTCCTCTCTTGTCTGGCACACAGCTGCAGATGATGACGCAGGAAGAGCAGAGTACAGACGAAAGGAGAGAGCCTAATGTAGGGCAATGGCGTGGTTTCTTTTAGCTGAAAACGAAGCAGAGCCAAAGGGATGATATTAACACTCTATTGCTGCTCTTCTTATGAAAGCTGCAGCAAAACCTACACAAATTGTCTATTTTTTTATCTTGCTGTTCATATTATCTGCTCTAATATGCCTGAGCCTGATTGCAGAAAGAAAAGTGAAAACAGAATCAGCAGAAAAACTGAAACATCCAGAAACCAAGATAAAACAGGCAGCTAGAAAGTTTTTTAATTCAGCCTTAAAGCTGAAGGAAGATATAATATACAGATACAAATTCAAACATGAAATGAAAACTTTCAGAAATATGAGCATAAAATATTATTATAGTGGATATACAAGCATAGAATATGAACACTGAAAAGGAATATGTCTCTGTAGCCTACTGTGTGGAACCTTACACATCAGCTTTTCCTGTCTGATACAGATTTCTGGCTCTCTTTGAGGAATTGACTGCTTGCTCCAATATTCTGTAACACATACCAACATATTTGAGGAAATGTTTTGCTTTAATTCACAGATTAAATCAGTCGTTGGCTTTAAAAGGGCGTCCAAAATGTGGGGCAGGTTGGTTTTTAGAAGCAGTAGTTTTGAATCTAACAGAACATAAACCTGGATTATCCTGATTCATACATCAAAGCAAGCAGCTGCATCTCAATTAGTTAGAATACCATTAAAAAGCTAAATTATTTCAGTAATTTATTTCTTGTAATTTAGATGCTTATGGGTGAATATTAGAATTTAAACAATTAATATTTAATATTAATTTAATATTACATTAAACCAATAAAAAAGTATTTTTAATTCGGAAATGTTATGTTATGCCAGACACAATCTTACTGAAGACTGCTGACTTCACAGTTGTCCAGCAGACGGTCGTTGAGGGTAAACCACAAAAGGTCACAGTTGAAGTATCTTGCTTGTGACAGAGTGCTTGGACACAAGCATTAATGTGATTGTGTCCAAGCTCATTAATGGAAGGTTAACTGGAAGGAAAAAGTCTGGTAGAAAAAGCAGCATAAACAATAAGTGCATAACAGCCCCCTTGATAGAATATCTGTAATCCAGGAAGTTAAGAGCCCTTCATGCTTCTCTCTACTGATAGGTTTAGAGATGCTGATTGTGTTTTCCAGCCCACACTGTCTCTAGTACCAGTACATTGGAATTAATGTGTTTTCAAGGGGAAGATTAAAAACATCATACCCAATAATGTGCTTATTAAAGAAACTGAATTTTGGGTTTTCTTTAGCTGTAAGTCATCATCATAAAAAATAACAGAAAATATATAATAAAACATGTCCGTCTGTGTGAGGAAGCTATAAAATACAACCTTGCAACGCTATTCTAATCCATTTTATGGAAATGCATCTCTAATCTGAAATTTACAAAATTATAGCTTTTTCTGATCAGTTTTTTTTCTGTGAAAAGGTTCTAGTTCTGAACCAGAAAAAAATACCAAAATATAATTTCTGTTTGTTTTATTTGACCTACCAATAGCTGGTTAAAGTAAATGAGATATAGAGTGTTGGCAGATAACTAGCTGTGTTATTGGACCATCTCATCTGAGAGGAAAGGCGGTAGTAGAGATCAATAAGCAGGTCAGAAAGAAGTTTCTGGCATAAAGAGGAGGTTTGGAAGTGAGAGAATGTGGCGCTCAACATGCAGACGCACCATTTGGTCCGAACAGAAGTGCGTGCCGAGGAAAAGCGATGTTTTCCGTTCTGCTAACTGACTCACTTGGATCAGAGAGATTTTGCAGACCGGGCGTCAGAAGAACTTGTGCGTGCGCGAATGAGAGCGCCTCTTGGAGCTGCTGTGTCTTCCCATTCAGACTCCTTCAGCACCCAGTTGTCATAGTGACGGAGGGCAGCAAGAAGAGCCCGCTCACTGCGCCACCTGATTGTGAGTGCGAGAGCAAGAGAGCCAGACAGAGGGCAGAAAGCAAGCGACACAGAGTTGTGCTGCAGCAGCGATGGGAAGTCGGGCTCTTTTTTTGCTGTGATCAGATTTTCATCGCCGTTGGGACCGGAGGTTCTCCGTCGCTCTTTGTCTCTTCGTCTAACGCAGCCAGCTTGGATTATTGCTGCTTGCCTGTGCTCTTCAGGGGAGGATGCTGATGCACTGTGGCATGTGTGTCAGGTGTGTATGAGATGGAAATCCATGTGTGCTGATTCCCATGAACGCACAGTGAGACTTGATGCTGCAGGGGGACACACAGCAGGCCTGACCGGGGGCCCTACATGCCATGGTAAATACCTCTGAAGACAAACCTATCTTGGAGTTTGCTACCTGGGTTTTATCATTAGGTAACCATGTTTCGAATAGTTCCAGCGAGTGCTTGTGAATGTGAAGCTGAAAGAGTCATGCTTCCATGCATATTTTTTTTCTTAAATTAACTCCTTTACTTATGCAGTAAGTTACCTGATTGCAGATGTTGTCGTCCTAATTTAATGGTGTTTGTGTGATCACCGTCTCGCTCTGCAGTCTGTCTGTGCATGTGTTGGCGAGAGAGAGTTGTGTTATTGTCTTCTCATGCTGCAGGCTCTGTTCTCTCAGGTTCACGATTGTGCGTAAGCAAAAAGCATGTGAAAGTGTGTGCTTGGGAGTATTTTTGCTTGCCTCTCTGATTCGTGTTTGTAAGTGTAAATCTGGGAGGAGTAACATTTAAATTCAGACAGGACAGGCAGTGAAACTGAGCGATTCTGTGATTAATTTATTAGTTGGGTACTATTTCAGAGACTGGGTCACAGTGCAAGCTAATGAATTCCTTGTTGACTTTTGAACTGGGACATTTTTTACAGAATTTAAACACAGATCTAAAACGGGCCTTGTCTCTATCTCTCGTCTGTTTCCTCTGTTTCTTTCCTTCCTGTCCTCTGCCTATGTTGAACAGTGAGATTGTGTATGAATGAGGCATAAAATTGGATAGACGTGTTTTGGAAATGGTAAGAATGCATCATTCATAATAGCAAGAAGCCAGATTCAACAAATTGATCGTTTTTAAGCTTAATCAATTAGTTGAGTAGATACTCATCACAGGAATGGGTGCTTCGTAATGGTCATGGTGTGAAGACCTTTAGTAAAATGTTACCGTTTCATCACAGTTATAGATAAGGTGTGTTGTGGTTTTAATGGCTACGTGACAAAAATGTTAAGCATTGAGATGCAACTTAAGTACCATGCTGCGAAAAACATTGAATAACGAGAAACTTTCAGCTACTTAAGATCAAGCAAATCACAGAGCTTTTTAACATGTTTGTTCCTCACGTCTTGCTGTTTGTAGCCTTCAAAACGATCTGCTTTGTCAAGTTACCATGTTACCCAAATTCAAATAATAATATTTATAAAGCAATAAAAACTGATCAATGTTAGTTTGTGATGATCTACTAAAACTGAATTAAAACTTTTAAGCCTGAAGAACTGACGAACCAGACCATAATATGATTCACAGTACATGTTCTGCATACAGGAAAATGTTAAGGGATTTATACGACATGATTGCAATGAGATGTCAGGAATGAAGGCTGACGTTCTGCATAAAAATATATTAGATTTTTAGACAATAACCTTACAGATGAAGAAATATACATGCTTTATTTCTACTTATATGTTCAGTCATTTTCTGTGATTGCTTACAGTAAAATCACAAACGTGATTGTTGACTGTTTCAATAAGGTTCAGCTTCGCTCAGTTGAACATATTTATTATTTAAGGTTAGTTTTCTGAAAAGCTAAAATTAGAAAAAAAAAAGTTTCCCTGCTGAAAATGCATTTTCTTGTGGTTTGGACACAGCAGTTGCTCTAACTTTGTCTTTCAAAAAGAACCGGAGACATGATCGGAAATATAGCCACGTTCAGGGTAAAACTAGCTTCTGTGTTTGTTGATGGGAACCTTGACAAAATGGAGAATGGATTTTGCCAGACCATGTTCAGTAGTCATTCTTTCCCTTCCAACACATCTCCATATTTCGGATGACCAAAGATTGTTTGTTCTCAGTTTGGAAAATGTGTTTTTCTTCCTACTGCAGTCTGTTGTCTGCGAGGTTTTTACTTACATCAGCTTTGCTGTGACAGTTTTTACCAGATAATTTTTTTCTTAAGGCTTGCCTGCCTGAGTTGAAAAGAAAAGAGACGTACCAAGATTACACAGAATGTGTTCAGGGGCCCCACTTTTAGTTAGCGATATCGCTCACAATCTACAACTAACATTTGCAACTAACAACATTGCAAGCATGCATTTTAGTTACCTGGCAACTACATGTTGAGTAACTGACATATCACTTTATAAGGTTTCTGCACTATTATTAACTGCTTAAAAATGAACATCAACAGTTTTCAGCCCTTCTCAGTTGTTTTGAATCATAACTAAATCTTGATTTTAAATCACGCTCCAAATATGATGTCCAGAAACCACAAAAGCATGTTTGAAAGAAAGGTTATTCTATACAAACCTAGTGATGAAACTCTGAAGTTTTAGTACATGTACCATGTGTGAGAAGTAAAATACTCTCTGGAGCCATCTACTGGCTTGGAGGCACAAACAATAGCTTTGATTGTTTATTTTGACTTACTCTGGCAAAGAAAGATTGAACAAGCAACTTCAAATAAATAGTACTCTTACTCTGTTAAAAAAAAATTCAATTATGGCAGAACATTGAAAGTTTTGCTCTTCACTTGTAAAGTGACCACTGCGGTCAGTTTATTGTTTTCCTTTTGTAGAAGGTATTATCCCACTCTTGAAGCACTCTCATTTTGTCAAAGCTACGGTGCCTTAATTGAGTTTGTATGCTAATGGTTTAATCAAGAAAGTAGTCAATAACTCATCACCCGTTGTGTTCAGGGTTTGGAAGCACAGCCAGCCTCATGCCTCCTGGGTCTTCTCTGATGTTTTTGCTGCCTGTTGTTCTTTATCTTAAAGTGGGGCAATGCCTGCTTGCATTTTCTTTTCTTGTTCAGGCACTGAAGACGGTGGCTGCTTAACATCTTTATGTCTTTCATTTTACAGGAAGAATGCAAGCAGATCATGGCACGGCAGAAATCTAACAGCCAGTCAGATTCTCATGACGATGAGGTTTCTCCTCCTCCTCCGAACCCGGTCGTCAAGGCCCGCCGCCGCAGGGGAGGAGTCAGCGCAGAAGTGTACACTGAGGAGGATGCTGTCAGCTACGTACGCAAGGTCAGATTACACATCAGCTCAAAACCTCCAACTTACCGTCTTGGTGGGACCAAAGAGCAGAATGGCAGTAGATGAAGAATCAGGGTAAAATTTATGAAAGCCGTCACGAAACAGAATTGGCCACATCAGTCAATTTATTTTCACACATGGTGAATGTTTCACTGAACAAATCTGCGGGACCAACGCTGAGATTGTATCTGCATTTCATAATCACTGTTTTTATGACCGTTTACATTTGCATCACATTATCAGCACTTACTTAACAATGCAGCTACAGTGCCTTCATGCCAATTTTGCAAGACTCCTTAGAGCCACAAACTTTAATGGATTTTATTTTGATTTTATGTGACTTTTTAGTGGGTAGACTAACAAAAAGTAATGCATAATTTGTGATTGTGAGCATGTTATTTATGGATGCACTTATTTTTTTACAAATAAATTTTTTTTTAATTGTGCCATCCCTTTATAATCACCACCATTTAAAATAGTTGCAGCTGCAGATATTTTGGGGTACACATCTTCATAACTTGCAAAATAGCTCAAAATTAATTGCAGAGTATGTGTGAACATCAATATTCAGGTTTGTGCACAATTGGAGCAGGCACACTGCATGTCAAATCCATCTGATTACAGAAATATGAATATTTGATGCAGAAACTAAAATGGTTAGGGTATTATGTGACAGAACTTGAAAGGGGACTAAAAACTGATATAGTATGTCTAGAACTATGATTAAAGTAGATGAAACAGATTTTTCTATGAATAAAATGATACACAAATGATGGAGGGCCTTGTACACACGTACCCAGGTCTTTGTAAAAATGAAAAACAGCCACCAAAAAAAAACAACACCTCGCACATGGATTGGTTTCAGAAAAGTTTTTATCTCCATTAACCCACCCAAATCCACCTTGAGCGTTGTTTTAAACATGCCAAATGGATAGGGGAAGACTGAAAATGCATGGGACCCTGATTCTCCATTCTGCCATGTATACAAGCAAACACAGATATATAGTTTTCTTAAAACTTCACTTTGATCAGAGATGTTCTTAATAATGATCTCTAGTGATATTAGTATTTGTGTGGATAAAAGACCAAAATGTATAAAAATGTATTTGTTTTCCTCGATATCCGGATAGGTGAAAATTAGATCTTAGTCTTATAAAACTTACAGATGGCTAAATTGTAGCTAAAGCTAAAATGCATTTTAATCAAAAGGTCTTTGCTCCAAGTAAATTAAAATGTGCTGACATAATTAATAGGGCTGTTCTCAAAAAAATGTTCATGTTACACATGAACACTAGGGCTGTAACAATTCCTTGAATGATTCGAGTACCTCGATTATTAAAATTTCTTGAGGAAAATTTATATGTCTTGAAGCTTCATTAAATTAAATTTTATTAATGAGCACACCGTGTTCCGGCCGGGTTATTATTTGTGTTTGGCAGCACTTTCACTTCCACCTATGAGTTGTTGCTAAGTTCGTTCATCATAACATCCAATTTTCAAGTAATTACTTTGTATTACTTTTCTTCAGATTAACTTTGAAAGTGAGTTATTATTGTTTCTGGTTAATTTTCTAAACTACAGAAAGTAATTGTCAGGGAGGCTCAAATATGTAAGATTGGATTGAAGTTGATTTTCAAACTGCTATCTTATTTTCTTTTCTTTTTTTTTTAAAATCCGATTACTTGATTAATAATAAGAATAACTGATAGAATGTGATTACTAAAATGTTTGTTTACAGCAGCCCTAATGAACACACACAAATGAAAGAAATATTAGGACTTTTTCAGTATTACATGTCTACATTGTCCTTGAGGCTTTTGTAGCTTGTACGTTTGGCAGGAATTATATTTTACGTTTACTCATGCTTTCACCTGCACATATGTACAGTGAAACATAGATGGTGCATCAGTCCTACACTTTCTAAATTGTAATTAACCTGACATGAATTGTGAGGTAATGACATTACAGCATAAGCCGACATCACCACATAGTAATTGCAGGACCAGTGAAGTGCATATTGTCTGTGTGCGTGTGTGTGTGAGAGGGAGGGAGAGAGGTGTGTGTCTACGCCAGGGGTGTCAAACTCAGTTTGATTTTGGGCCAAATCAACAATTTGAATGTTCTTGACGGGCCGGTTGTGCCAGAATGTATTGATAGAACCCATTAAATTGTTAAAATGTCAATAATTGTTTCAGCATTCAGTAAGCGTTCCTTAAAATTAAATAATATTGAACATCTTTTCACACTAATTTTGTATCACGCACGTGGCCTACGCTGACATGCATCAGCAGTTCTCGGTCACAGCAGCACATGCTGGCACAGCATGTGCTGCTGTGAAAGCTCCGCCTTTATCTTCAATTAGTGTATTTTCTACGCCCCTTATTCCATTTATAGACTCACATTCTCACAAATGTATACCTCAACACACAATACACAAAACCACATCAGTGGTGTTTATAGACAATTTATTGCATGTCTTTAACTTACACAACAAGCCCGTCAGAGGAAAGTTAATCAAAATCAAATTAGAACATGAAGCCAGATCCAGTGTGAAACTTCATGTTGCTTTTTAACAACCAGCAACTCTGCTCATCTGATTAAAATGGTTTTGCCATAAAAAGCAGACTGTCTTAAAATGTAGAATCCACTCAGTCGGGGTTTCAGACTGAACAGCTCAGACTGCATGTCTCATTGCTAAAACCAGAATGTGTTGAACATTTTTGATGAAAAAAAACAACAACTTTTGTTGTAGGTTAATATAAAATGGAGCTGTCGCTGGAAGGGGACAAGGTGCTCACCAAGCAGAAACAGTAGCAGACTAGAGTTTTAAACCTTATTGGTTTCTACCTGCACTTGTTGTAGTGTCTGTTTACACAAATAGAAAATCAGCCAATTAAATGGAAGTGATACAGTCCATTTAGACAGAAAAAAGAGAAAAGCTAAACCAACATTAGCTCAAATAAACACACATTTCAGCAAATGTTTAAATTGTGCAGTTATATTTCAATATTAGAAATGTACATCCTTTAGATTCTTCTTCTGCTGCAAGTTCTGCAGGTATCCTCTGTAGCGATGTCCACTGGGCACCTCAAGTTTTAAGACCACAAGTGGCTCCATGTGGCTCTGCACCCAGAAAGTCTTTCATTTGTATTGCGTGCACAATGCAACAGTATAAAATTAATACTGCTTTCAACACACAGCACTTTGCTGTGGCCAAAGATAAAAATGGTTGAACATTGACTGCGGTGCAACATCCTTTCACAGTCACTAAACACAGGATTTATCACATCTAAGAAAATAGGTGTGAACGCATATGTTACCGTTCTCCCCTTTGCTTGAACATGTACTGCAGAACAGCTTTGATTTAGTCGGTAAAACAGTACTTTTTTGCTCAATGCAATCATCATTTATTTATATCCTGTCTTATCATTTCTCTTTTTCTCACTAGCAGGGGAAGCTCAGTTGCTAGTGTAAGCAAGAGAGATATGCATCATCAAGGCTCCACACGGTTACAGAAAAAACTCTGCCTTAGTCTTATTTTTTCTACCACACATAACATGAGAGGTTCAGTGCTGATTCCTGCAGGGAGTTCTGTGGATGCCACTTTTGGTCTGAAAACTATGTATCTTTGTGACCAAAAGCCTTGTCCTGGATATCTACAACCCCAGAATCCTCATAATTAATAATCTCTGCATATAAAATCCAACCTAAAAATGTGTATCCCTCCTCAATTCAGTTTCCATCATTGACCAGCATCATTCTCTTTCTGGCTGCTGTATCGTCATATTTGTAGTCCTACAGATGATACAAATGTAGTATTCCTTCATTTGTGTCTGATGTGGCTGTGTGTGCACTTGTGTGCATATTGTACACTGCGGTGTGGTTGTCTTCATGTGGAGACATCTGTTGCCTTAACTTAATTACAGCCTAACCCCTCCTCTTTCCTAGAATGAAAGGCAAATACACATAGTATACATCTCTTTGGTCTTTTAGAAAGATACTGGGTTTATAAAACTTTCTTCCTTTTTATGTTTTCAGTATTATTTATGTTCTCTATAGTATTTTTCTAATTGGCATACGTTAGATACCATAAACACAGACCTCTGTGTTCAGCTGCTTTTTTGTGGCTTCAGATGTTACCGTTCTCCCCTTTGCTTGAACATGTACCGCAGAATCTGGGACAAAAAAAAATGCATGCTTTATAAATGATTTCAGGTCTCTTGTGAATTTTTTTTCTAAGATCTGTGACATTTTAGTGTTATGGTTGAGCAGATGGGCATTCCCAAAAATACTGCATGTGTGGGATATGTCTTTTAGGGTTTGCCAATGTGCTGCTCTTTAATTACTCATCTTGGTCAGCTTTTGAAGTCGGTTTGCCCTGGTTTGTATCATGGTTCCACCTGTGCTTTGTTGTTTCTGCCCACTTAACTGCAATTATGTCTTTGTCTATGCAGGTGATTCCTAAGGATTACAAGACCATGACTGCCTTGGCCAAAGCCATCTCAAAGAATGTGCTGTTTGCTCACTTGGATGACAATGAGAGAAGGTACAAAGTCTTTCTTAGTCCAGTGTACACCAACTTTGAATGAGTTTTGATGGATGAAACTTTGACTTTCTTTTAAATATGTATGAGTGCCACTGTTTTAACCTTGTGACCACTGCCTGTCAATGCTGCTTGAATGTTGAAGACTTAAGCCGAGGAGCTGGGCATTGCCAGAATTAGCCAAGGAAGTGATACATTGATGATTGGGGCAGGGACCTGTCTGCTTGTATTGCGTTATGTTTTTGGTTGATATAGTAACCTCTCTGGGCAACATGATCATGTTGCATACACTGATATAGCAATGGTCTATAGGTTAGTTGGAAACCAAGAATTATTTCCATTTGTTTTTTAACATAAAGCTGGCAAGCCTCACCAATCCCTCCGTTCTTCACCATCTGCTTGTCTTCTTTCATATCCTTCCCTTCTTTAGCCGTCTTCTCATCATGCTTACATCTGTCCCAGCTGGAATAGGGTTTCATTGGCGGAGAGAATCCATTATACCCCATGGAGAGGAAAACACTGGCGCTTTCCTGTTGGCTAGAGCCCACACGGACCAAACCCAAAACACAGTTTTTCCTTTCTTTCATCAGCTGACAGTCTTCAATGCTCCCTTGGCGCTAGCAAGCGTGCCTCTGATTGCCTGTCACTGCCTCTGAAGGAGCCTCGACTGGGCTGCAACATGCGATGAGTCCGGACAGTTTAAAAAACTACGTTATTGAGTGCTTGACATGGCAGATTACGGGCCCAACAAGAAAAATACGTAGCAGAAGACGATAAGGCATCGGGTTTTAATATAGTCGAAGCTGTTTGCAATGCCAAGCCATGTAATGCAGTTGACATCATCTCATGAAGCCATGCAAGAAAAAGATTTTATTTGACTGGCTGTCTTGTTTGCTTTCTCCAAAAGGGGTAGTTAGCATATACCATTAATATCATTCATACAGGAATTTCTTTTGAAAGTTTTGGGTAAACATGCAGTTTTAGATCTGCTTTCTTGTTCTGAAGCAGCTTGTGAGTTCTGAAGTCATACTTATGTTAAAATAGTGCAAAATGTCTATATCAGAACATGTGAATTACTGGAAAGAAACTACAGGGGAATGTTAAATCTGTGAAAGGTACGATTTCTCCTGCGACATAAGAGGATGGATGGATGGATGGATGGATGGATGGATGGATGGATGGATGGATGGATGGATGGATGGATGGATGGATGGATGGATGGATGGATGGATGGATGGATGGATGGAAGAAAGGAAGGAACAGACACACAGATGGAAAATGGCTAAATAAATTAATTTGATTCGTCTGCAGTTTTGATCAAATAGCCATGAGATAGAACATCTTAAACAGGTACTATTTGACAAAAATTATAATAAAAATGTATTTAATGTATTTGAAGACATCAGCTAACTCTGAAAACAAAACTTTGGGTTGCTCCTGGAGAGAATTAAAGTGGTTTTCCCAAGCAAATGATCTTTTTACAATAATAACTTATGAAGTAGCAAGCTGGCAACTTTTTACTCTTTGTTTTATTGTCCTTTCTATTCTTTGTTTCACTTGTAGCCATGATAATATTTTATGACTAAGATGTTTTCATAAATTCACGGTCAACTTGAACCAGTTATGCTCAAAAGTGTAGACTTGGACAAATGTAAAACTGCACAAATAAACCCAGAGTGCCTGTCGACATGAATCAGTCGCGTTAGAATCCAAGAATATAACAGAGTTGAAAGGCGGAGTTTTGTTTAACATGTTACCATGGTGCACAGTTTTGATAATCTGCTTTAATTTAAAATCACAGTTACAACAAACCACAAGAGAGAAACAGAACAAAGCTTCAAATTAAAGAATAAGTTGATGTCTTCTGCTGCAAGCATTGGCCAAGTTGGAGAGTGAGGGATGTTGACTTTCTCAAGATGTGCCAGTGCTGCCTCTGACTGACGCAGATCAGCAGATGGAGCCGCCTCTCAGCCTCCTACCCTTTCATTTCTGCTCTCCTCTCAGTCTGCAAGCAGCTGGCTCTTTGGCTTGTCAGATGTTCTTGCAGATTTGGCACTAGTGTGTGAGAAGTTAGTGACAGTTGACAATTACTTCTGGTATTAGCTTGTATTTTACATCATAATACTTGTACATTATTAAAATGTCATCTTCTTTAGATCAGTCAGTATATTAGGCAATATAGTGATATGTATATATATTGTGTAAATACTTTTGACTGGGTATATTTGAAACCAGATATTTATGCACACCAAATAGAATTGTACTTTTTAAAAAACAAAATCACGCCAAACTTTTCATGTAGTAGGACAGAATTAACATAATTATTTCTATTTGCTAAATACATTAACTTGAGTAGGAAGTCTAGGAAGTTAATGTTACTGTCCCTTCAAACAATTTTTGAAAGAGTGGAAAAGGATAGCATGAGTTTGTAATCTAATAACAATAAGTTTTAACCTTTTGAGTGAATTTAAGCCATACTTACAATACCGAGTCAGTTTATGTAAACTTCTGAAATTAAGCAATTTTCTCTCCCTCATCATTCTGGCATTTAGCAAAAAGAAGTAATTGTTATAATTATTACCACTGTAAAACAGGAAATGTTTAGTCTGATTTAATGTCAGATAGTGAGAAGAAAACGATTATTCCTCTCTTTGTAGAGCATTTCTGAATATCTTGTTTCAACTTTAGCTCACACAAGGGGAGAAATGTTCTGACTGACAGTCGTGTGTGTTTCAGGCAGCATGTATGATTAGTCAGTCAGCAGTTATGTAAGCTGAGCGCCAAAGATTTGTTCCCCCATTAGCAAACATATTATGCTATCATCCCTTTCAGTAGTGAGCAAGATTAGAAACAATGAAGGCCTCTTTGTTTCTCTGCTGTCTGCAGAGCTCTTCTTCTGCTTTCATTTCTTTTCATGTGGCTTTGTTTCTTCTTGTTGTACTATCCCATCTCATCATATCTGTCATTCATAAGCCATTTCATCTTCTCAACTTACTTATCTGCTTTTCTAGGAATTCAGGGACAATGTTAGCAACCTAAGCATTTATTTTAATCACTGTGTTTTACAAGACAGTCAGAATTTCTTCCTTATGAAATCATTTTGTTACTTCAACTGGTTTGTTTTTTTGTATTATGCCTAAGACCTTTAAATAATATGTTATTTTCACTGTGTGTGATGGTACTTTTTTTTTGGTTAGGAAAAGTTGAACCTTTAGTTTTATGTTTGCACAGGTCTAACAAAATGCATTATCACAGCAGAGAGTCATACAGAAAATAATTGATCCAAAGGTTGAACACAGTTTTATAACATGACCATTAAAGTCTGTTTCACAAAGTTCCCCATGTTGACGTTTATTATATTAAACCCTTTTGATTCTTCCTAATAGTTATAGTGTAAGTGTAAAACTCGCTCACATACACTAGCACATAACCAGGCGCACATACCACCATTGCTTCAAAGGACAATATCATGAGGAACTTGTGTACACATGCGTGATGTGTCCACATGCACGCACACACACCCCCACGCACACACACACACTAATAAGAACATTCTCAAGTAAGCATGTCAGAATGTTTTCCCAGTGTGTCTGCTCCAGCTGGGAGTGTGGAGTCTTTGATTAACACACCATTCCATATGTCAAACTTTATGGCTCAAAGTTTTTGAGCTCCACCAGCCGCATGTGCGCCAATGCGTGCGTGTAGTCATTGCCTCCTCAGCTGCTTGGAAATAAAATGTTGCTGCATTGCAGACTTTTAATTAACCTGCTTTTATTCAGTGTTGGTTCCAGTTCCAGTTTGTAGCATTTATAGTGATCGAAAGGAATGTAATGAAATATAAAAATAAAACCTGAGGTCTTTATTTATTTATTTTTAATCCAGGGGTGTAATATTGCATGAATTTGTATAACCAATACTCATGGATACTTGCATTCTGATGAAAACTACCATCAATCATAGGAATCTCATTTGTAAGATCATACAAGTTTTTATTGCATGTCAAAAAGTTTCATGACAGAACATTAATAGATTAAGATGGATGAAAAGCAAATGTGGTAGTGATAACCAGCTGGAATCTTCAATTAGTAATGTCCATATTACTAGTGATAATTTGACTCAAAGAATATTTCTTTTTCTTTGAAGGTTACATAAAGTTGGTTATAATGCAGTTTTCCTTTGCTGTTGTCATAATTTACTTTTTTTTAAATTGTACTATTATCATTAAAGTTAAATATTACATATTCTTGTTTAAATAAAAGGGAAAAAGGACAAAAAAGGAAAACTAAAATGAAATAGAAAAGCATGATTAAGAAATGAGTTGACAAACCTTAGGGAAGTTTAAATGTATCAGAGATTGAAGCTTTATTAAAATCTTTAGAGATTTCCATGTATGCTTTGGGGTTTTGTTTGTGGCCTGGCAACAACCGGGTTGATAACGTCACCTTCAGGAAGAAAAAATAGGTGAACTGGCTCAGTGGACAATCTGAATGGAAACTCACAGTCACTGTTTTTGTGTCCAGCATACAAAGATCATCAAATACTGTCAACCTTTGCTCTGCAGTTTCTGGCTTTTCACCTTGTCTGAAAGCTGAATATTACATATATATATATCACAGCATTTGCTCTGTCCTCTTGTCAATCATCACACAATTTCTGTGACTATCAGGCAAAGAAAGGCTAAACTTTCCCCTTATTATTTTCTGCTGTGCCCCTGCCCTACATCCGTCACATCTCCAACTCAGCCTGTCAAAGATTTTGGTCTCATTCCAGGCATTACTTTGGCCTTGAAAAGCTCCTCCAGCTGCTCCCACATGTAAACAAATCTCTTGTTGGCATGGCTACGTCTCATAATAGATGTTGAAAAGTGGCATATGTATCAGGAAACATCAGTTCGGCAAAGTCAATGACACATTCTGAACTGACATGCTGCCTCAAGTTAACTTTGGCTTCTCTAAACTTTTAGTTGTCTGGATCAAATCAGACCAGCTCCATCAGAACTTAAT